AAATTCCGAGGTGTGGACAGAGAAAATGTCCGGGTTTGTTTCCAGTGTTCACCAGAAGAGAAACCAATACCTAAAAGTAAGATTATATACGATTTCAACCTGATTTTGTATCGGTGTTTTTTATGCGATCAATTATTCGAAACATAACTCATGAGGCATGTAATTACGATATAACTGTCAATCTTTTCTTTATATTTGTATATATGCATTGTTCTATGCATATATACCCTTTTGATACTTTCTAATTATCCAATCATTCACGGCAGAGGCGGATCCAGAGACCTACATTGGGGGGGGGGGGGGGTTCCAAAGTTCATGTGGGGGAAAAAATTGAGGAAAATTGTTAAAAATACATTATTTTTAAAGAAAATTCTCAGGGTGGGGGTGGGTGGGGGGGGTGTTCCTGAAGCCCAAAAAAACCCTCTGGATCCGCCACTGCTTAATTATTTTATTAGTACTAATGAATCGTTACAATTGAAGTGAAATCAGAAAGAGGATATCAGTCTACTGTTCCTGACAATAGCAACACCGAGTCATTATCACAGGATAACGATCTTTAACAAACAATGAAGAATGTACATATTCTCTCGATCTTTTCATTATAATAAACTGAATTTCAATCATTTTAATTAGGAAAATGACAAAACAATGACACGAACTTTGAATTGATTAAAAGGGTGCAATTAAATGTTACGTATTGCTTTCTATGGTTTAAGAAGTTTAACTTTGAAAATTACAATAAATTCCAATTAATTTTAGAAATCTATTTTTGTGACTCGTATTGCTTTACCGATTTAAACGAGTCTTACCTTTTTTCTCTCAAAACAAATCATCTTATTAAATATCAACATATTTCTCTATTAAAGACTAAACAAAAACAAATTTAAACATAATTTTCTTTTTGTATAGCTATGTCCGTTGTAAAAATAATGATTATAATAAACCAATTTTACTTGTCGGTTTTTTAAATGCTGTTTCTATCATTTTGTTTGTATTTTCATGGGACAATTTGTCGAGCGTAATGACAGGAGGAAAGTCATGTATTAACCAAGAGAATATTTTCTTTACGATCTTAAATAGCGAGAATACAATATAAGTAATAGACACTGTTAAGCATGCCTCGACTTCAGCTGAATGTGTGAGGTATACAAAAACTTGACGTGTTTGATTATGATAATAACACTAAAAGTACTGTGACCAGTTAAACATTTTAATTATAATGTATTTGCATTAACATAATGACCTTAATAATGTTAATATAAGAAATTTTAATAAGGAAGTGAATCCTCTGGAATACCTTCGGCGGACAGAAATTTAAGGCGGTATGTTATATAAGTGTGACATGGTTTTACTTTCAGAAAAAAGTTCCACGCCGAAAATAAATGTCTAAGCGTCTTACAATTGTCAATCATTAGTTCATTACCAGCTTATTTAAATGAACGCATTTGAAAGAGACACAAGACACATGCATCGAAAACACTCGAAGGAATTTGAATCATTAGAAATATTAATGAACTAGAATATAACAAATAAACTGTCAAAAAACCGTTCCACATATAATATTATTAAGCAAAATGTCATCTCACGAGGCAAATGAACAGATTCTTACCTGAACGAAAAGCTTCATTTCAATCAGTGAACAAATGGTATCAGTGAAAGGAGAAAATTCGAGTTTGACTTCTATGGATCCGTCCTTGGACCTATTCTGTTCGTAAACGTCATAAACGATCTTCCAGATACTATCAATGTATCTGGCAACCTCTTTGCTGGTGATACTGGTGATACTTGTGATACTGGTGATACTAAAACATTACATAGTGATGCGTTGGCTAGAATATTAAGACGCTTCCAATACTCTCCGAGTGGAGCGACAATTGGTTCTTGAAATTCCATCGTTGAACGTGTATATCCATGTACATCGGCCGTGTATTGAGTGAAAGAACGCATTTCTCAAACAATGAAGCACTGGATGAAGTATTTCATGAGAAGATTCTGGGAGTTTTAATAGACGATGCCCAAAAAGTAAGCATGTTGATAAATTGGGAAGAGTCAAAACAAGGGCAACGAAACAAAATCATTGCATCACGCAAATAAACAGATATAAAACAAACTTTTGAAAACTGCTTTAAATGTAAAGTCTGCTATACCATATTTGTCCAATTGTTTTTCTCTCCAAGATATCACTGTGGTGTAGCCTGTACGTTGAAAAAGTTGGGACTGTTTGAAAGATGGCGGCCGCCAAAACAAGTAGAAGGTGAGTCCTCAGAACATGGTCGATTTTTCTACTTGATTTTTTTTTTAGCGATCAACGGATGCATTGAAGCAAAAGATAATAGATCAGGGTGTTATTATAAAAGGCTTAAATTCCACTCCAGAAAAGCATCTATATTAAAATACAGTGTTTGCAAGGTGACGGGAGCTGGCAATCGGGACGTTCAGTCGACGACAAGTTTGAATTTACTAAAAAAAACGAGTTCAAAAATTAATTCTGAGTATTTATGGATCCATGATATAGGTTAAGAAGCCTTTAAAGATTAATAATAATCTAAACTGGTTGCAAAATACGCATGTAAACAAGTAGAAATATGCATTTTAAAGAGGTGATGTCAACATTCATTTAATCCTGTAATTCTGTTCGTGTAAAACAGCTCAGACGTGATAACGGTACGAACAAGGAAATTTACTGTTTGGACAACCAAGGAAAAATTTGAAAGGCGATTTAAATTTGACATTTTCGAGAGTATTCCAGGGGGGATGAACGTGTTAAGTTATTGAATAACGAGATTATTGAAACACGTTTTGGTCACAAATACTTATAATGATAACAACACAAAGGGTACCGATAACTTAAATTATACCATTAAAGTTTTGTAATGTCCTTGTTTAAAGTAGAGGTCTTTTAAAACGAAACCAACCCTACACCTGGTAAGGCATACACTTTACCAATAATACCATCACAGATTTATAAATGTACAGTATCACAGTGAGTGTCCAATCAATTGGCTGCAATGCTTATTGAGATTGATAACTCAAAAGTACACGACTTGATTATTGTCGCAATAATAGCTCTCAAGAGCTAATGTTCCGTGTTTACCTGTATGCGACGTTAAATAAAGTTTCTTGTATCTTGCTGTAGTCACTATAAGCTAGAAAACTCAACTTGGTAACTTGATCTTCTATAAAGAAGGGAGACGCCTCTAAGTAAAAGCATATTAGTGGAACTCTTCTTTGCCATTGTATGTGATGCAGTGGTACCCTCTACCTTAAGCGGATATAGTATAGCCCTGTATATAACGTGAACTGCGCCTGGTACAATGACATACATCCGGCAGGTCGTTTGTCATGTTTTATGTGTGGAGCGTATACGTACCTTCGGTGATTACAATACATGGAGCGTTCTCTTACAAATGACAATTAGAGGGAATATTAATCACTGTGTGTGTATAAGATCATGTTTGTTGGATGCTGTATATATTTTCTCCCTCGGGGCTTTTTCTATTTGTCCAGTAGCATATGGTCACTAGGCCAAAAACAAACAAACAAAAATGTTGTTGGTTTTTTTTTATACCTTTCTTAAATCTTTTTGTCTTGCTTTTGGACGTTTGATAAATTGAATGTAGCTAGAAAAGGAAAAGGAACCTTAAATCTTCAGATAGTCCACGCCAAATCAGTCTAGTATTTTCATTCGGCGCCTTTCTTAAAAGATACTCGTTTTTCAGTCGGTTGTGATAAAATGGAGTTTAATCGAAACAGTTTTATTAAGCCTGGCATCTTTGAAAAATTCATAGATAAGGCATTTGTATAGATAGCCTGTAATTAGCAAATCATTGTATTATTGTATATATAAATATGAATATTTAATAAGGGCAGAAATTTACTTGAAATTGCCAAACACGGTTTTATTGCATACAACGTAACTGTAGACGTGGAAGAAGAAAATCATTTTTGTTAATTTTCCTCATGTATCGACGTTAATACAAATATCATATACAAAAAAAGGCAAATTTAACTATGTTGTCTAAATATATCTTCGATGCTACTCTATTAAGGACGACCCTGTTTTAATGATAGAGTTTATGTAAAATCTTCTGTACATTCTCCTATGAATTTCTTCATTCTCTGTCACTGTATTGGCTATTTCAGATGGAAAAAGTTATGAATAAGTAAAAAAGAATTTAACTCGAAATATTTTATTTTGTATATCTATTTTTCAAAATGATTTCTGTAGTCAATATGATTAAATACATTTACTAGATTTCTACCTTACCCTACCTTTGGTCATTGTTTTACATCAAGGAATATCGCACGGTGATCGCACGATGATCAAAAGCTTGCGACACGCTGTCCAGTTGTAAATTAACCAAGAGTTTTGTCGGTAACTAAATAAAGCAAACAGTGTTTTAAACTCTATAATTGATTCTGTCCAGGAGATTACCAGAGGATTAATTTGCATTTCTATTCATCAGTCACAAAAAAGATGTCAGCGTGAAGTTCCTTATGATCGTAATTTCTTATAACCCTTGTCATAACTATGTATTTTGTGCATATTTCTAATTACTTTATATAAATTATAAACCAATACAAACAATGGACCGATAACTACATTCTGAGAACGCAGACGTTCAGGTTACAGATCTTACAAAGGAACGTATAAATTACACTTGTAGAACCAAAGAGTGAATCCGAATTTTGCCGGGTTTCTCTTCACCTGTTTTGTGAATGGTCGTGTTGTCTTTAACCTTGTTTTTGGAGTCTTCTCCATATGTCTATCTTTGGCTTTTATTAGCGACTCTGGAATCAGTTTGTGTTGTTAGCTTTGTCGTGGAATAATATGGTTTTACTTTACTTGCTTCAGGTATCTTATATACGTCTTTGTTTGAGTTAGACTATGCACTGCCAGCCAATCACTGTACAGCGTGTCATATGTACAACTATTATGGGATGTTATGACCTGTTATCTTAAAGTATAAAGAACTGCAAACGTGACCAATGAGTTGGAGTTTTTCTTCAAATTTTATTTACTCAAAAATAACAAAAGGAAATTGCAATACTTAAACATCTTTTCATATTTCAAAATACAAAGTCAAAAATTAAAACAAAAAAAATAGTCACTAATCCATTCACTTGGTATTTTGTTGAGCAAAGCTTAAATGTATCTTTCTTAGCCCTATCCGGATATACACAACCGCCTACGAATAATCACTATCACCACATAAAAACTTTCCGGAATCCGCCAGCCGGCATACCGTTTTGTGCCAATCAAGCCCGAGTGTCAATAGCCACTCCGGAAATTTGTTTTGTTTATTTCTGTATTAATCTAAGGATCTGTTTACTTTGCTTTTTCTGTAAATATTTTATAAAAAAAATACTTTCTCATAAATTTTAAAAAAAATGTTTTTGTCACAGAGAACAACATTGATGTAATTTTCGTACTTTTGGCATGCAGCTTCATCCAGGACAAGTTTGTGGTATTTGGTGTCACTTGCCTTTTAAAAGCATTTGAATCACACTCAAAAGAATTATATCAGCCAATACCACTTTCCGTTACATTCAAACAGAAAGGAAATTATCATAAGTCTTATTTTTAACATATTTACTTAAAAACAAGGAAGATTCGAGCATACATTATGTTATACGTGAGTGTCCACTGAAACTATAAACATATAATTCCACGCAGTAATAAGTTAGCAAGTTTGATTTCAACGGGATTCCGTCTTAATAAGTACATAATGTATGTAAATATATATATCCGGCTTGATAAATATATAGATATATATCTTACCTTTTTATATGTGGGAATTTCGTGAACACATTCACAAATTTTGACATATACATCTATAAAGAGGTCTGCGTAATGCAACGATGCATAGGCAAATAAACATTATTTCTAAAAACAACTTTATCATGCGAAATAACATATCTCTTCAAAAACAAATATGTTACGTTTTTGACAGAACATAACAGTAGTATCACTACACACATAGTGGGTAGTTCAATTTTCAATTCACCTTAATAATGGCACTGTCCCGCTGACAGTCGAATTATCACGGAACGGGCAATATATTAAATTGTCCATGTGTCCACATTACACAAAATTACAAGCATGACTTACGTACAAACTATTTCCACAAGGAACATTTACACGAACACGCTTCAAATTAGTCTGAAGATAGCATCCATTCATCTCTGCCGTTGTAACTACTATACTAATGGTCCGAAAGTATGCGTTCTACCCTTAGGCATTCGTTATACCTAGTTTAGAAATAGCAAACACAATGACAAAACTATATTGTTTTAGTATATAACAGGGGAAAGAGAAATGCAACGGCCAGACCGGGGTTCGAACCCGGGACCGTTCAAACCGTAGACGGAAACTCCACCAACTGAGCTACATGGTCGCCGACGATCGACCCAGTCCAGTTCGAACAAGTATTTCACTGTTTCAATTGCAATTCCACTAGTTTTGTCTTTCCTCAATATTAAAATCCAGAGATTGTTAGATGCAAAAATGCATAGAATAGACTGTCAATCACATCGTACTTCCGAGGTTTTATACAACAATATAACTATTTGATTATTTTTTGTTGAAAAATGCCGACGCTAGTAACATTTGTTGAAATCCCTGCATTGGATTCATACCTGTTCTTGGCATCATGGTGCTCGTCGGGCTCGACCGATTTCGACTCATAGCACCTAGAAACGAAACATTGGGAGTAGTCGGTGCGGGCGTTCCCCAAGGCCCGCCGGCATTCCCACCAGCAGGTGTTGTAACCTGGTAATAGTTAAATGGTGCAGAGGGTCCCCACAATCCGCCTGTAGGGCCCCATTGGTTAGGGGCTGCAGCAGGTGCCGGAGTAGTCACTGGTGCTTGTGTCCACGACTGCGCAGTTGTTGTTGGTTGTGCCCATCCCAATGGACTTGGGACAGCAGCTTTGAATGGCGTGTCGACAGCCTGAACTGATGGAGGCATCTGATATGTTTCTTGAGTGCCAACATAAGGAGTCGCCTTCTTTTGTGTCATTTTATTACTGAGGTCCTTTGCGGCATTTAAAATGGCTGTTTTTATAGCAGCTTCCATACCTTTTGATATTTGCACGGATTCCTGAGTATTACTTGTACGAGAAGATGAACTGGTCGCAGACGTCGCATTAGCTGCCGCTGTCTTCAATGTTTCTAACATTTTTAACATTGTCTGAGCAACATTTTGTTGATTTGTTCCGGTGCTAGATGAACCTGTATTTGTTGAATCAGATTTTGAAGCTGACATGGAGTTAGCGTTATTCATCGTCATATAACCACCTATTGAATCTTTGACCGCATTGGGGGTTTGACCTTGACCAAACGAGTTGCCTGTATTCCAGTTAGATTGGCTATTTTGGTTGTTCCTATTCGAGTTCTGTCCTCCCCACGATCCTGCACTATTGTAAGCATCTGATTGCATTTGATTTCCGCTTGCATCGTAATTTGCTATTTGCATTGCTTGATTGTTGTAGTTGTACGAGGGTCCTTGATTATTTCCTAACCCAAACATGTCGACGCCGGAACCTTGATTAGCGTTGTATTGATCGTTATTATACCTTGGCTGCTGTCCTGGCACCACAGCAGAATTATAATTCGGTGTGTTGAAGGCTGCAGTGTTCGTCCCTGAGCCAGTTCCGAACACTGTTCCGGCTCCTGTTTCGGTTCCGTAATTAGTAAACCCTTGCTGGTAGGTTGCAGCAGCATTGTTATAACTTGCTCCTTGATTTGACGATACACCCATATTGTAAGCGTTACCCGCAGTAGTCCCTTGTCCTTGATTGTAGGCACTGCCGCCCTGGTTATAGTAATTGCTATTTTGAGCTTGAGCAGAGGCAGGACCAGGATATGGACTAGGCTGCACGGCCGCATTCCCAGCCTGTGAAGCTGCATTAGCATAGGCGTTGCTAGGAGAAGCCGTGTTATACCTATTACCTGCAGCTGCGTTTTGATTTTGATACGACGATCCGGGATTACCAGATAACGGTTGGCTAATACCGCCTTCATTACGCGCCGCATCCTGCGGTTGTTGGTTGTTCCGGGCGTTATATCCACCGCCAGTGTTTTGTTTATTCCACCTATTTCGCCTACCTTGTTTGTTATTTCCACGACGTCTGGACGCTCCTTGCTGTTGGCGTCTACGCGGTTGCTGCTTGTTTCGCCAGTTAGCCTCTCTACCTCCAGGTCTTGACTTTGAACCGTTGTTATAATTAGACCCTGATGGCGGTTTCCGTGTAAGCATCTGCTGCTCCCGTCTAGGGAAATATCCCCTTCTTCGTGCAGCACCTTGTCTATTCCTTCGAGAGGACTTCATACGTAAATCATTAGCTGCTCGCATTTCAATCCATCTTCCAGAATTTCTGCCAGATGGAGTTTCACTTGGTCGCGGAGATTTGGTTATTGAAAGCTGGTCCATCAGTGCCGACTGTCCATTAGGTTTTAGACCTTTACCGGCCCCATAATTAGGGTTCGAGTAATGTCCCGTACTAGGGTCGTATTGTGGCGCGTATGGGTCTGTATAAGGATGTTGTGCCCCTGAACCATGGGGTGCTTGACTGGGATATGGCGCCTGATTTGGATGTGGCGCCCGGCTTGCATGACGCCCATAGGGGTCATAAGGCGCACGATATCCTCCATATGGGTCACTGTGTGGGTTATAATACGGGCCGTAGTGATATTGGCCGTATTGGTCATAGTATCCTCCATGGTGTGGACCATGCCCGTGCGCACGCGTTGTAGGTTTTTTAGTAGTGGTGGTTGTTGTCGTTGCAACTGTTGTGGTTGTCGACACAGGCCCCTCTATTTCCGGTGCCTCGTATTCGACTGGGACTGTGGTAGTAGTTGGTTTGGGTGTGGGCGTTGTAGTTTTTCGTGTTGGGTTTACAGGTGGAGCCAGGTGATACGAATATGCTAATCCCAGCCATCCTAGGATGCAGCCAACAGTAAGGACCTTCATAACTGTAGCTCTGCAACAACAGAAAGGTCAATATGACATCTTATTATGATTGTAAACGATATCAACCTCATCAAAGCATCAATCAAATTTCAAATAATACGACATTTTATTACATTCTTTGCATGTGGGGCATGATGTTATATTATCCTGATTGATAAAACTGCGGCACACTTGCTTGTTGTCATTGTCTGAAGATAACGCTTTTGATATAGACCAATCAGAACAGCAGTTTTTATTCACTGCTTTCAAAGTCACGAGGTTTCTGTTAAGATTCAATTGCAGCAACGATGGAATAATTGATAAATCTTTCTTTCATTCATCAAAATATTTACTTAACTACACAACGGATATCATACTTGTAAAGAAATAATATATGATATTAGCAGAAATTGGTACAAGTGCATGGAGTAGCTCATTAAAAATGACATGTAGCCTTGCGCCTGTTGTCAAGCATGACGTCATAGGCATGGTTATTAATTCACACACATTTTGACATAGTAACGTGTTTATCAGTTTAGGTACCTTAAAATGTCAAATTCGTTAGTCTGCTCTAATTGTAAAATAGACATGGTATTAAACGAGAAACCTTAAAACATACTTCATGTATCATATAACGATCTTTGTATTAATTTGTTAAAATCTGAAATTCTCGACAAAAACCAGTATCGAGTATTAGGGTGGTCGGTTTGTTGTTGTTGTTGTTGTTGTTGTTATTGTTGTTGTGAATATAACAATAAATACGGATCTTAAAACAAGGGGGGTATTGATTGTGACTCTGAAATCAGATGAAGATAATAATTGCAACTCTTCAACCTTTAGAATATAGAGTATGATTAACATAAACTGTATCTAATGAGGCAAAAATCTTTAAAAGAAAAAAATAACTTTCATATCAATAAAAAAAACAAAGAAGGAACATGTCTTTCCATATCAACATAAAACAATCGTAGAAGAACCTTAAAGACACTAAAGTTTAAATTCACTAAAGGTAATATCTAAAACTGTTATTAATATAAAACTATCGAAAGAAAATCTTTTTGTCATATCGATATTAAACCATTGAAGTAAAATCGAAGAATCATATCAATAAAACACCAATGAAGGCAAATATAAGGTCATATCAATATAGATCCACTGAAGTAAAATCTAAAAGTCATATCAATATTAATTCACTGAAGTAAAATCTAATAATCATATCAATATAGAACTACTGAAGTAAAATCTAACAGTCATATCAATATAGAACTACTGAAGTAAAATCTAACAGTTATATCAATATAGAACTACTGAAGTAAAATCTAACAGTCAAATCAATATAGAACTACTGAAGTAAAATCTAACAGTCATATCAATATTGAACTACTGAAGTAAAATCTAACAGTCAAATCGATATAGAAACACTGAAGTAAAATCTAACAGTCATATCAATAAAAAAACACTGAGGTAAAATCTAACAGTTAAATCAATATAGAACTACTGAAGTAAAATCTAACAGTCAAATCAATATAGAACTACTGAAGTAAAATCTAACAGTCATATCAATATAGAACTACTGAAGTAAAATCTAACAGTCAAATCAATATAGAACTACTGAAGTAAAATCTAACAGTCATATCAATATAGAACTACTGAAGTAAAATCTAACAGTCAAATCAATATAGAACTACTGAAGTAAAATCTAACAGTCATATCAATATAGAACTACTGAAGTAAAATCTAACAGTCAAATCAATATAGAACTACTGAAGTAAAATCTAACAGTCATATCAATATAGAACTACTGAAGTAAAATCTAACAGTCAAATCAATATAGAACTACTGAAGTAAAATCTAACAGTCATATCAATATAGAACTACTGAAGTAAAATCTAACAGTCAAATCAATATAGAACTACTGAAGTAAAATCTAACAGTCATATCAATATAGAACTACTGAAGTAAAATCTAACAGTCAAATCAATATAGAACTACTGAAGTAAAATCTAACAGTCAAATCAATATAGAACTACTGAAGTAAAATCTAACAGTCATATCAATATAGAACTACTGAAGTAAAATCTAACAGTCAAATCAATATAGAACTACTGAAGTAAAATCTAACAGTCAAATCAATATAGAACTACTGAAGTAAAATCTAACAGTCATATCAATATAGAACTACTGAAGTAAAATCTAACAGTCATATCAATAAAACACCACTGAAGTAAAGTCTAACAGTTATATCAATATAGAACTACTGTAGTAAAATCTAACAGTCATATCAATATAGAACTACTGAAGTAAAATCTATCAGTCATATCAATAAAAAAAAACACTGAAGTAAATCTAACAGTCATATCAATAAAAAAAAACACTGAAGTAAAATCTAACAGTTATATCAATATAGAACCACTGAAGTAAAATCTAACAGTCAAGTCGATATAGAAACACTGAAGTAAAATCTTACAGTTACATCGATATAGAAACACTGAAGTAAAATCAAACAGTCATATCAATATAGAAACACTGAATAAAATCTAACAGTCATATCAATATAGAACTACTGTAGTAAAATCTAACAGTCATATCAATATAAAACTACTGAAGTAAAATCTAACAGTCATATCAATAAAACACCACTGGAGTAAAATCTAACAGTTATATCAATATAGAACTACTGTAGTAAAATCTAACAGTCATATCAATA